TTATTGTCACCATAGATTAAACTTTTTTTAAATATATATTTTATTGATTTTTTACAGAGAGGAAGGGAGAGAGCTAGAGAGCTAGAAACATCGATGAGAGAGAAACACTGACCAGCTGCCTCCTGCACATCCCCTACCGGGGATGTGCCCACAACCAACGTACATGCCCCTGACGGGAATCGAACCTGGGACCTTTCAGTCCGCAGGCCGACACTCTACTGCTGAGCCAAACCGGTTTTGGCAGATTAAACTTTTTATTGTCATGATGGATCCCAAATTCTTTGCCCCTCCTCAGCGAGAGGAGGGGATAATTTCCTTCCTCTTGAATCTGGGTGGACACTGTGACTGACTTGGACAGTAGAATGCCTCAGGATTGACACTGGGTAACTTCCAAGCATGGACCTTAATAGACTTGAAATTTGCTTTGTTATTTCTGTTGGTATCCCCCCTGCAGGAAGCCATATGCCTGTAAGAGGGGCAGGTGACCACCATCTTGTGTGGAAGGCCAGTATTTGCAAATAGAGAAAAGAACAGAGGAAGGAATGCACAGATACTAGACAAGCAAGTGAATTTCTTGGATCTCCAAGCAGAGTTAAGGGAGAGAACAAATGCCAAGGTTTATTCTTTCCAAAACTCCTGACCAACAAAAAACATGAGCAATTAAGTGATTATCATTTTAAGCCACTAAACTTTGGGGTACTTTTTATACATGCAGTATATAACAACATGTACTTTCAACATTAAGAATATTACTTTTCTCAATATAATAGTTTAAGTATGCTCATAACATATGTTTTGATAAAAATAAGAAATAATCCCCAAACTTTTATCAGTAAGAGCCCTTGAAATAGATGGTTCATTCCAGTATATACCTATAATGTTAACATTTTATACTGATGGTTAGCAATAAAAATGATTGAAGTTTTATCATGTCTTCACAATACTTAATGCTCAAAGCTTCAACGTTAGAAAAAATGGCCCTCAAAATTAGATGTTTCCTAGAGTTTATTCTATAAACATTTTTTTAAAAACTAGAATATAGTTACATTCTGTTTACCATAAAGACATATCCAAATTCCTTGGGTTATATGGAATATTGTAACTAAGTAATTAATAAAGTAATGGGGTTATTTGCTGCATAACAATTGCAAATGTTTTTCATTATTTTTCTCTCTGACTTTCTATAAAATAATTCAGCAACTATTGACTTAGCAATTTCTATAATAGAGATAGGTTAGACTGAAGCTATAAAAAATGTTAGCCGAAACTGGTTTGGCTCAGTGGATAGAGTATCGGCCTGCGGACTGAAGCGTCTCAGGTTCGATTCCGGTCAAGGGCATGTACCTTAGTTGCTGGCACAACCCCAGGAGGGGGTGTGCAGGAGACAGCTGATGGATGTTTCTCTCTTATCCATTTTTCTAACTCTCTATCTCTCTCTCTTCCTCTCTGTAAAAACATCAATAAAATATATTTAAAAAAATGTTATATCTCACCATTATTTCTTACTTTTTGTATTAGTTGGGATTTAAAATGGAGAGTGAACAGGAACCCCAAAATAATGATAGAACTCTATCGTTGTCTCATAAAATTCTAAGCAGCTAGCTACCTGAGAGCTCCATTCTGCAAATTCAATAAGGGCTTAAGTTTCTTCTATTTGGTGGCACTCACTCTATTACTTCCTAGAATACTGTACTTCAGGATTCATTATGGGGAGAGGCTCAGGCAAAAGCCGGACACCAGGGGGATGCAGGGGGGCCCCTCAAAGGTCTCTGGGCTCCAAAGGCTCCTAGTCCTGCTTGAAGGTGAGATTTTTGAAGAGATACTCGCCCTGCCCAGTCTGGGGGTCAGCCTGCAGAGATGAGTCAGGTGTTGCCCATTATCTTGATGAGTTCCACCTCCTCACCCCAAAAGTGGTACTCCAGAAAGTCACAGAGCTGAGGGTCTGCACTGGTAGAACCCCAGGCATGTAACTCCAAGAGGGCCTAGTTCAGGTTCCTCTTCAAGGCCAAGGTGGCTTCCATGGTGTTCTGAGTTTTGCCCCACCCATCCTGAGGAGGCTTCAGCACTTCTTAAAAGAGAATGTGGCCACCTTGCTTGTTTTGAGATGCTCAGCACCCTTGAGCTTCTTCTCTGTCAACTCAGGAAAGAAGTGGCCCACGCTCTCAAGAGCCACATCCTCACGGTCAAAAGGTAGGTGTGGGTGGCCCACAGATGCAGGTTGGCTCAGGTTGGCCACAGCTTCCACTTGGGTGGAATAATTCTGATGAATTTGGGAGCTCAAAGTTGTTTGACAATAAGGAGTTAAGGTAGAAAAAAAAAAAACCCAGCATGTTGGCTGGTCTTGGAGGAGGTTCTGAAGGTGGTGACTGGATAAGATCCTGGAGAGCGGCTGGCGGCTGGGGGAAAGGGAATCCCTGGGTCTGTTCCAACCAAACACTGTTGAAACAGTAGACAGATCTGGACTACTGCAGGCACTGTGAGGAGCTATTCCCTTTTATTTTGGATTATTCTATCTATCTATCATCTATCTATATCATGTATATCTATCTATCATCTATCTATATCATCTATATCTATCATCTATCTATCTATCTATCTATCTATCTATCTATCTATCTATTATCTATCTAATCTATCCATACATCTGTCATGTGTCTATCCATCTTCATCAGTTATCTATCTGTAGCCAAAATATTGGGAGAAAACCAACCTTCAGGTCAAAGATCTTTTATCCATACTTGCCTATTCTCAAGGTGAATCTTAGAAAAAGCCATGTCCATTTATTACCCAATGATTTCTAAAGCAGCAAGTCTGAGATAGAACACAACCTTCCACTGTCACCCTGCAGCAATGAGTCAGCACCTCTGTAGAGACTTTGGGCAGACCTCGGACATCCACTCTACTCCAGCAAGAGGAGGCACACCTAGCCGATGAAGCTTGTGGATGATCTTTTGTAGAAAAAAATAATCTACAGAATAAAAATTTTAACATATGCCTGCATGTTTGCTTATTTATCATTATCCTGTTTTCATCTGGAAAATCAAGTAACCCAAAAGAACCTTGCTATTTTAATAAGTGTTTGAAAGGAAATATTTACAGCTATGAAACCTTTCACATAGCCTGTTATCTATACTGTATTAACTACATTGTAATTTTTAGGAAAACATAATTCCTATTCATTTGTCAACATTATATGTTTTGATGACCTCTCTCATGCTCAATGTGAATACTTTTAAATTACATAATCAATTAGAAAAATGTAGGTACTATTAATAACATTCCTTTTTTTTTTTTTTTTTTTTAGCCACACTTCATGCAAGAATTTCTTCCACATCTTCTCTGTAATTGAAAGTAAATTTTCTCTGATAACCAAAAGTCTCTCTACCTTTCTGATGGAGACCCTTTAATCCCACTTAGGGAAGAAAGAGATTCCAAAGATTACTGACTCATGGGCATCACTTAAAAACAATTCTTTTACTTTTTTTCTGTGATTTTTGTCGTGTTAGATAGTCTCTTCAGCCTGGCAGTCATCAACTTACAATCTCCTAACATTCTTATTTCTTCAGTAGTTGCTCCACTTCAGTCCTATAATTAGTTTCATCATCCAAGTCAATGATCCTCCTAACACACTGGCTCAGAGTCCTTCAATCCTTATAAAACCAGTTTCTCCAGTTTATCTGTTACTTAAAAACATAAATGTAGCCTTGATTGAAGTCATCACATCTCTGTTTCATCTCACTCTACAATTTTGAATGTTAAAACTTCTCCTCCTTGACAATGAAGAATTATAAGAACAGTAGTTCTCTCCCATGTCCCTAACCCTGGTAACCCTGTGTGTTTTTTTTTTGTTTGTTTGTTTGTTCGGTTTTTTTTAATCTCAATTCTAACTTCTACTACTACTTTATTCTTCAAATCCAAAGCCTACTTCAGATCTAACTTTTCTTCATTACTAGTCAGGAAGCCAAAAGCAGCCATGTCATCTCCCACATGGGGCCTCCAGAGGCTCCAATACCCAGGACACACCGCTGTGACTTCATTGACAATCCTTTGTTATATCCACTGTTGGTTTTTCTACATCTGTTCTCCAAACTGCAGTTGGTAAAAAGGAAAAAAGAAAAACAAAAAGTCAATAACATGCTGACCAGATCCACTTTAAGTTTATGTTATTCTCATCATTCCTCATTACTGTTTAAATTATTATCATGTTCCTTTCAGCAGGTGTTTCAAATGATCGCTCAACTAACTGCCAATTCCCTTGTTCCCAACGACGCAAATTTCCTCCATCCTCAAGAATAGTGAAATCGTATGTCAAGAATCCACATTGATCCACATTGTAAACATATTGATACATTGAAGAGCTTGCTATTGGCCAGGTGCTAGAGACAGAATAATATTAACTCAGGGTTCATCTGTTGCAAAATTCATTTCTGGAATGAGAAACACATAAACAGTGATTTTGACTTAACATGTTAAAGGTTACACCTGTGGTTCTTTTTCTCTCCTTCCCCTCCCCTTATCCTTATCTACTTTTCCTTCCTACCTAGGAGGAACAAATGCCTCTCTTCTTTCCAATGTTCTCTTTTTACAGAACACAGTTATGCTATTACAGCACAACTGCTTGATTATTTTGACCAACTGCTTATAAGGGCTTTCTTCCTTCTCTGTGTCTCTTTAGAAATCTATAAGCTTACCAAGTACTAAAATAAAAGTTGGTTTCCATATATCTAGGCAACAGTTCAGCATTGTCTGTGTTCTGGTTAGTAGGGCCAGAACACAGACAATGCTTATATTCCTTGTGTAAATTATAATTTAGAAGAAAATATCTCCACACAGATCAAATACATAACAAGAGTAAATCTACAGGACACATAAGACCTGTGCAAAAATTAATAAGAATTATGGATACATTTATATATTATTTTGAATAAATTTAAATGTTGCTTAAGCAATTTATGGAAAGTCTAAATACTGTGTCCCCTTTTCCCTAGATTAATTTATACCTTTGTGACAGGCAAGCAGCAAGAATATGAGGATTCTAGTCTGACAGCTGCAAGGAACTGGTTCTGCCAAGAAGAAGAATGAGCCGGGGAAGGATCTCTAGTGCCAGATGAGAACGCAGCCTGCCATCACCTTGACTTCAGCCTGACCAGACAGCCCAGCCACAGTGTGCTGGACTTCTGACCTTCAGAACTGTGAGCTGCTAAGTTTGTGGTAATGAATGACGCAGCAATAGAGAACTATTGTGACATTTAAATATTTCCCGTCAGAGTCTTAAGGGAGCATTTTTAATTTTAACATGATCAATCTAATAATTAGGAATAATGAGCATTTTTTTAAAGTTATAAACACATAAATAAAAGTTTTAATATAAAGTAAGTGAACTGATAGATCTTATAGATGTAATTAAATGCGTTCTATTGTCTCAATAATTTATGTGTATTGTGGAAAAGATCAGAAAGCCCATAAAAAACTTTGGTTTTTCTAAATTCTTTATTTAAAAATCTTCAAGATTAATGAGACAGACATCTATAACTTCAAAAATGTGTTTAAAAATTAATCATAAAACAAAATAAAATTAGGCCCTAACCATGCAAAGATAAATTACAATTGGATTAAGTATTTAAAACCCAAATGATTAAACCACAAAAATCTAAGAGATAATAAGCTTAGAATTGCAATGACTTTCTACATACAAAATAATGCAAGAAAATAAAAACACTCTGCATGGCAAAAAGCAGAAGCAAAATTAAAAAGACAAAGAAAAGTAGAAAATATTTACAAAGAATATATCTTTAAAATAAAAGGAGCTTTAAGGAATCATTGGTAGTTACAAAGTAGTCATGGAGATATAAAGTACAGCATAGGAAATATAGTCAATAATATCATAACAAGTATGTATGATGCCATCTGGAAACATTAGGGGGAACACTTTGTAAAGTATGTAATTGTTTAACCACTCTGCTGTACACATGAAACTAATACAAAATAATATTGATTGTAAACTGTATTTGAAAAAAAAAAAGTTAAATTATTGAGATAAATGGGAAAAAATGTCGGATAGAATAGGTTTTTCAGAGTACTAGTAATGGAAATGTTTAGAAGTATGCCAATAATAAACTAAACTAAACGAAGAACACTACTTTCCATTTATGGAATTGGTAAACATGACTTAAGTAATAATGCGGAAACAGATACATTGCATGCAACTTGAATCTAGTGCTAAAATGTTCATATCCTTTGAAGAAGTAATTTAACTTCTGGGAAACCAAATTAAGAAAATAATCAGAAATGTGGAAAATAAGTTACAGTATAACTATATAGCAGAATGTTGTGTTCACTTTTAGGTATTTTAGAAAAAATTAATTACATGGGGGAAATGCCCGTAGTTTTTTAAGTGGGAAAGTTAGACATAAAGTTCCATGTCTATTGGGCAGCTACATCCAAAGAAAAATAATGAGAAGATGCCCCATAATGAATGATTATTTCAGGATTTGAAGACGAGAGGACTTTTATTTAAATAATTTATCTTTTAGAGTTTTCTTTCTTTTCTAGTTTCTGTGTAGAACATCCTTATTAACTTTTTAATCAGTAACAGATGTACATAAGTGACCACTTTAGTTGTTACTGTGCCCTTGCTACTGAGTGTGATGTGGTCCACTAGCAGGGCATCACCTGGGTGTGTGTTAGACATGCGAAGCCTCCTGCAGGAAGCCTCCTGGCATCCAAAATATGCCATTTTGAAATCACGTGACCTTCAAGGATAATTTTGAGACTTGAAGAGGCTATTTTCTCCCTTGCTTCCTAACACTACACATGTTCATTGGTTTATTCCTTGTGTTTTATTTCAATATCTTTGTGTTTTAATGATTCCCATGTCTAAGCAGAGCAAAGCAATTTTTTTGTTTGTTTTTGTTTAAAAAAGAAAAATCATATTGCTATTTTGGCCATGGACTTTAGATAATAATGGCCTTTTTTATAAGTGTCCTTTTAAAATAACAATGTTAATGCTAGCCTTATTGGGTCAAATATTCTAAAAATTTTTTGCTATGAATGGAAATATAAAACATTATCTTCATAGGCTCATATTCAGTTCATTTAGCAAGGAATTCAATGAAATGTCATGTTATTTAAAACTTCATTTTCTAAAGTGGAAAACTTTATAATTTTAAAACTTGAAGAGCTCCACTAATTATCCATTATTGAGGACCTATAATATTACTCTCTGTATTCAAACTTATTTCTTAAATTATCCACTAATATACTGTCTTTGGTTTTTACAGAGAGATATCAAAACTGAATTAATTTAATGTCATTGTCCATAATGTTATGCAATCTAGCATAAATACACTTTCTCAAAATAAATCTTTCTACTAGAAAAAAAGTTTGCATAAGTGCTCTTCTAAAACTGTGAGTAATATTGAAGATAATTAATGTTGTGTATTAAGATGTTCTTTATAGTTTCTGAACTTAGAATGAATTTAGTACTAAAATAACAGTAACTTATGCATCCTGGATGTCTTGTACACATCCCTTCTTCACCTACATGCTTTTTAAACTTTCTTCTTCAACTTTAGTAGATTCCTCAAGTGTAAAATGGGAGGAGCCATACTTGACATGGTGGTCCATGAGAATCAAATGCAATTAATTACACATGTTCCTCAAGGAACTTTGTCTGTCAAAAATGGGATGATATTCTGTAAATAGCAGCTAGTATTACTATTAAAAAGTTCCCATTTTTAAAGTATTTTGAAATATAACTAAACAAAAAATTTTGGAAGTAGATATAAATACAATTATCATTATTATTTTATAAAAGTTATTTTAGGAATTTATTAAGGAATACCACTCTATCACAATATATATTTTAAGTGTTTATAATGTTTTGAGATTTAAGAACACTTATTAAAAGATGCCTATTAGTTTCTTAACCACTCAATCTTAAAACTATTTTTTTAAGTGAACAATTAATCAGAGATTGTGTTTTAAGGATGTGTAAGTCAAGGGGAAAGAAAAAGCCAATGGACACATTTTGTTTCCAGTTGCTACTCTCCTAGAATTTCGAAGACCTGGGTTTTAGGTCAATTCTTCAAGTAAACAACTTATTTATTTTGCTTTGAGCCTCAGTTTCCTTATCTGCACTATGATAGGATGAGACCAGGTTCTTGCAAACCTTCTTTGGACTCAAAAATTTCAAAGATTTACTTATATTCCTCTAATCTGAATTTGGCTCCTTATAGTCAAGAATGAACACTTTTATTTCTTTTACATTGTTCAAAGTTTACATTGAAAGGTTTAAGATACACTTGCATTTTAGAAGTCCATGTCCTGAGGAAGATTTCAGAATACACTATCATGATCAACTATTCCAGGAACATAGAATGCTTTTGAATTTTGGTCAGTATTCTCAGAGATCTTTAGCTCCTACCTGATCTTAGACTTGATTTCCATTTAACCATTTTTCTTAGTAAGCTAGAAATGTTACGACGATATTTACTTAAGTTGGGAGATTTAAATCAAGTTCATACAGGAAACTAGATTAAGTTTGCAATCAAAAGGCTGACTTCATCTATCATTCATTTTTATCTATCTATATCTATCATCATCTATTTATCAACTATCATCTATCTATCTAGCATTTATCATCTATCATCATCATCTATCATCTACCTAACATCAATTTTTAATCTACCTATGTTTCATCTATCCATTTTAGTAGAGTAACTAATTTGCTATGCCACAAACAAGCCAGTAAATTCTACAGAAATTATGTGCATGACAATAGTATATGCTTCTGTTTTCTAGACATACAAATATTGAGATTGATAGCATGGCAGGAAGGCCCAAACTGTCTGTAAGGAGTATTTGTTGGAATTGGGGACTGGGATATGGTCACACATAATGATGAAGTTCTAACTGATACAATAATATTTTATTTTTCACTTAAATGTAAAGCAACATATTGAATCACTTTGTGAATGAATGTATTTAGAATACGCTGTAGACCACGGAACATGTACTAGCAGGATGATGATTATATTTGGACCAGATGGACTTTCTGGGTGGTCTTCAAAGAGAAAACCAGTAAAAGATCCATTGCAGCAAGGTAATTTAAAAGAGTTAATAAAAGCATAGATTGATATTGTGTGGTCCATATTACATTAAAAATAAACCTTAATATTTTTGTAGAGATACCTAATACAAGTATTTTTATTTGGCTTACAAAAGCCCTGTTTATAAGATAACTTAATGGACTACTTCAAATATTTCAGACTATGAATTTTGTCTAATCAGGTTTAAAACTTGGACTAAAATCAATTTCAATTTATTTGAAAATTCAGTTTCCAAATTTAGGGATCAGCCAGATGTTATATGTCAGATTTATTCTTAGTTCCTTAAGAAAAGGCAGCAATACTGATGTAACACTTTCCAAAGAGATTTGCTCTATACCCTTTCTTATTAATACAATGTTTTAAAGATAATCTCCATATAAGTAAAACCAGATGTATCATCACAGGAGATTTATTTTAATAAGTATAAACTCATACCATCATTTTTAAAATTTAAGTAACATCATCATCAGTTTTGTGTATAGATGCTATTTGTGAAAATGTTTAAAACTATGAATAAGAATGTCTTACAATTGGCATATGGAATTCTTTGGTTAAAATTCTCCTTTCAGTTAACATTATCAGAAGACATTTCTTGATGAGAAGATCAGGATGCTCTTCAAATGCAGTTAGAATAAAGTGTTTTACTATTATTTACAACACATGGACATTAGACAAAACATAGCTAATATTTTACAAGCATAACTGTAGCTTCAAAAACACTATTGGTGAGAAAGGGAATTGGTCTTCTGGTCCTGAATTCCTTGCTCTGTTCACCAATTCATAGAATGTGCCCTCAGGATCCTTTCACATGAATGCAGTAAGATGAGAAAAAGCAACAACAATGACAATTCATGTAATCAAAGGTAATTTCAAATTTGGTATTCTTCCCTGATTAAATTACAAAAGAGCTTCAAGTTTCAGTCTGGGTGTGAGCATATTTTTAAAATATATTTTTTATTGATTTCAGAGAGAAAGAGAAAGGGAGAGAGAGATAGAAACATTAATGATGAGATAAAAACATTATGAGAGAGAAATATTGATTGGCTGCCTCCTATGTACCCTAGATTGGGGCTGAA